TTTTTCTTATTAAGAAATTTGGACAACAGAATTTACCTCCATCAGTCTCATACTAACAAACACTAATTTCTCTGCTGAAATAATTAGGTTATTTCTCCCATATCTGCAGTATGGTACAGAAGAGCAGCAACTCTCGAGACTATAATAATGAAAAAAATTTGAGTAACTTGAATACTTCTCTTTTCATATATATTTTTAAGGGGTTTAACCTTTCTCTGAGTAGGAGTGTTTAAAAAATGTCACTTGGTGAGTCATAGCACACTTCTGCTTGCTCCTAAAGTTTCAGCAGATAAGCTCTGAAATGAAGCACAAATAGGAGCACAAACATAACAAGATACATTAAAGAATACTGCAAAATTGTTATGCATGAACTTGGAGCATACAAGCTCTCTTTTGGCTGTATTTTTCCAGCTTTGTGACATAATATAGTTGTACGTATTATTCCCTACACACGTAGATACCCACACATGCACAGTATTTCTCATTCACCACATCTTAAGAAGTGATGATTAGCCAATCTTACCTCATTCTCCTCCACATACATAAACCCAGATGCAGAGGGAGAGTTGTTTGTTCTTACAGAGCCTTTCTAAAAGTATTTGATTGGATTTTGAGGGTTTCTGTGGTGGCTTTGAACATTGCTGGTGGGTCAGATCTGCAGTCTAAGACCATCCCTAGAGGATATAGCTTAACATAACACACTATGATCTCCATATACAAAAGTATTTTAACTGCTGCACAAAGACCTGTAGCGCTTGCAAATCTAAAACAATTTAAAAAATGAAAGTACTATCATGCATAGTATACTGAAAGTTAATTTGTCTGTGCGAGAGAAATTGTGAACTTTGCAAATACCATGAGATACAGCACTAAGGGGGATCATAATTTTTAGCATTAGTTAGAACAGTTCCAAGATTTCAACCAGAGATGAGAGTCAGAAAAGAAATCTTTTTAGACATATAGCTGTAGCCTTTATTGCTAACTGTAGCCCATGGCATCTTGGCTTTGGGACCTCACCTGATGCAGAATTTTACACCACCTCACATGCTGATTTGTGCTTTCAGCTATGTGTTTTCAGCTATGTGTTTTAACACAGAGCTAGGAAAACCCACTGGTTCCATGAGTCGATTGTGATGCCAGATACACCTCTTCATACTAATGTTTAGAATTTATTTCAAAGTTGAACATCAGGGAGGATGTCAGCTGAATTTTGCAGGCAAGAGATCAATAAATGGATGCAGTTTGAAAAACTGGCTACATTCCTTAATGATCCCTGTGATCAACTGAAATTTTTATCATTTTATTCAAAGAAACCCAGCTGCCAAATTTCTGATCATTCTTCCCACACACTGAAACCAAGGTGAAGGCAGAAAAATAAGTGTAGAATTGCCAAACAATTCACAGCTACTTTTCTGACTTTTGTCAGCTCATAGTGAAACTAAAACAGATTCTAAAATAAAAAGAAATTGAAAAATTAGTTTTGACTTTTAAAATTCTAAAAAAAAAGTAGCTAGAAGATAAATTATTTTTAGTTATTCTGATTAGAGTTTGAATATTATTCTGGATCATAAAAAAAGGTATTTCCCCCAATTCTTGTTAGCTGTCATAAAATCACTTTCTGTTTGAGAGACACTTTGATTTATCTAAGCATATATAAATGAATCTTATTGCTAACAGGCTGAACAACTATTTTTAAATGAAAAGAAAACGTATGACACAGAAAGTGTATTGGCCACACCTACACCTGTTCTACTATCTGACCGTATCCCTTGATGCCCATATTTAAAAGGCTTGCAAGCCTGCCTCCTATAATCTTCATACCTACCCTCTCTACCAGAAAAAGCTCTTGCTCAGCCTTCATTACTGTTTCTGACATGATTTCTTTACTGTGGCTCTTGCTTGAACTGACTTGTTTTACTTGACAAAAATCACTGTTTCTTCTCAAGGGTAAAGCGACTTGTTTTTCTCAAAATATTCTAAATTCTATGTAGCCTAATAGAAGCGTTTAAGATGATAGTTTTGTCTCTAATCTTGAAAAGGACAAATGTGATTAATTCTTCACTGCTCCCATTTGTTAATGGAGTGAATTCAGAAGGAGCATTGCAAATTGTTGCCGTGTAATTTCACACAGCTTTGTTCTGATCAAAATTTTTATTTGGGAGTTTGAAGGGGGGAATTGACATATTACAATTTGTAAAACTATCCTGTAGCTAATGCAGATACTTGTGGCTTCCAGAGTAAAGACTTGGTTGAATGTGATGCTTTAAGGGAACCACAGTCTGAGAGAACAGATGTGTTACTAGTATTGATGATAGGGCTGTCAGCAGACTTTAAGCTTGCAAGATTGTGCCATATTTACTTCAGAGTAGCCCCACTGATTTCAGCAGAACTAGATGAACACAAATACATCATGATGGGATCCTCACTCAGACAAAGCTTTGAGGCAGATATGCCTAGACCTATAGCAATCCCTACCTCCAACTGAAAAGCTTTCAAACTCAGATAAGCTGTTATATTGGTAGACATACTAGAATAATTAACTTTTTAAATAGAAAAATCTTAATGTGACTAGGTAAAGCAGAGTAGAAATAACAAAGTTTGTTCAGAGCTCTCCTTTTGCCTAGTATGTATTTGCTGCTGCTTTATTGCTCCCAGGCTTATTTTATTTAACTCAGTAACTTTCTGAATGGCTATAAATCTTGCTCAGACTCCTCTGGTCCTACACTGTGTGCTTGATATACCCATTTCTCCTAGATGACATCAGTATAGTTAACAAAGAATTCTCATCTCAGTAGGCATAGGGTATAGGGGAAAGAGGGACTAAAAGTTCAGTGCCTTGTGATGCTTCGTGTAGAGGTGGTTGACAAAAGATTTTACCAACCCATTTTCTTTAAAAAGCGCTATTGCACAGGACACATAGGAGACAGCAGTGATTAGCCTTGCAGAAAGCACTGACTGACAAAATATATTTTTGGTGGCCCTAGAAAACTGGCAGAACTGCATTTATAGAAATCCCCCAACCCCACCATTTTCTATCCATAGTTGATCCTTCCAGCACCTGCGGCAGCATAACACTAATGCAACCCCCTCTAGGAAGAGCCACTTAAGCAGATGCATCACCTACAATTCACTGATTTCCTATTGTGCATTTGCACTCTATAAAGTGCTCACAGAGGAACAAAGAAGTCAACCTTCTAGCTCAGCTGGGTTAATGTTTCTTTTTTTTTTTTTTTTTTTTTTGCAATAGCCTTCCAAAAACTTCACGTTTTGTTCAGTTCTGTTTTGATGTTTTGATCCATGTGATAGGTAGTTTTACCCAGAAAACACAAGGTCTAACTTTGATAATGTAAGTATAACTAAACAGACGGTTATTAAGTGATTTATGAATGATCTAAAATAAAAGATGGAAAAATTAAATATACCACATGGCATTCTGCAGCCTGTGAAGAAGGAAGAACTGTAGACTTTTGTCCCAAATCCTTTGAAGACATCTTTGAAGTGTCTGGAGAAATACTAGGTGGATGTTCTTGGATTTCAGGCTCTGCTTTATTGTCAGGGATGGGAGCTATCTGAATGGAAAGAGACGCTGTGTGTACCTCAGGCACAGGGTTACAGGCAGGTGAGACAGGCCTTTGTGGAAATACTGGCACTTCAACAGGCTTGAGCTGTTGCTGTGTATTACAATGAATGCTACTCGCTGGGTCACGTGTCCGGGTTAATTTCAGGGTCGATACCCTACGTTTTTGAGACTGTTGCCTTTGGCCTTGATGGAGAGTAGTACTAATACCAGCTACTGTGCTTGTGCCTGCACTGGAGATTGAGGTCAGTGGTTTAATGATTTTTTGTGCATAGGACACACTTGTGTTAGATATTTGAGAAGACATTGTCTTCTGGACAGACTTCTCGTTAGTGTAATAGGCAGTATCTGTGGGAAGGTGTTTAGCTGGACTGGTTGTTACTGCCTCGAGATTAATTTCATTCTTGTGATTAGTTACTCTTGCTTTCCGAAAGCTTTCTTTTCTAGGGGGTGGCAGAGGTGCCTTATTTGCCAAAAGCATCCACACACAGCAAAATAACATTAAAGAAGAAACAGAAAGAAAGTAAATGTTAGCAGGAGATATAACTCAATTTGACTTTTATCTTTAAATAAAGAAACTAGCAACTTAAGGGGCTTCATCCCAACATTACTCAATTCAATTGAAAATTGAATTGGTCAGGTTCCCACCACCTTTTGCTGTGCAGGACTGTATGGCTTGTGTTTAGAAAGCCAGATGTTCCATTTGCTCAGAGTAAACTGGGATCAGAAGGGAGCCCACAATAGTCCATTTCCTTTTAAAAAAACAATTATTACACTGAATAAGAATTATTACTGCGAAATTGTTCAGATATGTAAGTAATTTCCAAAATGTACTCCATGATCTTAGATAACAAGCTATTATTCACAAGTAATACACATACATAAAACACACAGAATTGAATTAAAATAGTAACAAACAGTATTGACATTTGTATGTTAATCTTTTTTGGACAGATAAATATGTTTCCAAGTTAAGTGGTTTTTTTTTAATGTGCTCTAATTATATTGTTCTGCAAAACAGGCAGCAACATTGCCTACCTTATAATTAATAAACCTTTATCTTCAGATATTATTTTGATGACTGATGCATTTCTCCAAGTGTAAAATACTAATAAATACTCTTTGAAGTCTGACAACACTCCTAGAAAGCTTTTATTGGTGTATGACCTACTTTTATTTAGCTGGCTGTCTTGTTCATTGAAAGCAATTTCTGGTAATTAACCTGGAGGCATACATCCTCTGTGGAGTATACTTTATCTATGCAGTAGAACAGTTTGTAACGCCCCATATGAACAGGTGATTTGCACTATCGGAAAGACATCAGGATGATGTTCCATTGAGGTATCACATCTATGTATGCTCTCCCCCAAGAACAACCCACACACAAATACCAAAGCATGAAACTTGGTGTGTTCAGTTTTACCTGAGTTGGTGATTTTTTATCCTGCAGATTTGGCCGCACGCTCCTAAAACCTTTTGCTGTAAGAGATGAACTGCTAGCATCTCCATTCAGTGTCTCTCTACTTCCATCATTGTAAGATCTCCAAGCTTTTGTGAGGAAAAAAGAATAAAATAGTTTTGGTTTTTTTCTTTTGTGATTAGTAGATCTCTATATTGCTATCATCATAGCAACTCCGCTATTAAACAAACTGTGGAAAAGTTTAGCTACTACACAACTGACATTGCTGCTGGTATAATCATGGAAGTTATAAGAACAGGGCTAAAGCTACCACTTCACAAAATATTTATCTTTAAAATTTAGAAAACTCAAGCATTAACAATACTGCCATTTGATATCTCCCCACAACATTCATATATACTATGGATTTTAACCTTGGGAGTCCTTTTGAGACATTGGTGCTTCAGCCCCCATATAAAGCAGGCTGAAGTACTTCCACAGATTAGGTTCTTGAACTTCACAGCTGCATCAGCTTTTGAAAAACATCCCAGCTTGCTTAAAGTTAGTTGGTCATGGCAGTTTCACCAGATTTCACCACAATACCTGATTAGTTGTTCCAATAATGCATCTTATTTCCAAATCTGAATGACCCCTCAATTTTCCAACCAACTAACCATGTTTTGTCTCTATTCTCAGAGCCGAAGGGCCCCCAGGGCATTGTCCAAACATAGAGGAAGATACTATCCTACCTCAACAAGTTACAGATTTGAAGACAAAACATTGTAAGAGGCTGGGAAAAGTAACACATTATGTGAGCAGGTTGCTAAGTGAGGTGGGCAGAACTTGCAATCCTGAGTAAGGGAGTAAAAATAAAATAGCAAGTGCCACTGAAGCTAAAGGTGGCAAATTAGCAGTCTGTATTCTCCCACACAATTCATTCTCTGACAACACATACGGTGTTATAGGAAACACTGCTTTCAAATGAGACCTGAATTTGAGGTCTTAACCACTTGCAATTATTATTACAATTTCAGTGATGCTTTCCTTAAAGAATGTGGATATATGGAGTAATGAAATCAAATAAATGGAAGATTTTTATAATTCATCCACTTACATGGTATTACACGGATGCATAAATATCAGTGTTTTATTTACCTGAATCTGGAGACTGAGAATCAGAGCCTGAAAAAGAAACATCTAATATTAATTTGTGTCAGAAATAAAAACATGACACAACTTGAAAAATATTATGAGTCCTTTTGTTCAGTTACCTAATTCCCTCCTGTTATCTAAGCACACCTCAGAATATTAGACCATAGGTAACTGTGCAATGTTCATTGCACAAATTCTACAGGTTATAGTGTGCTGAGAGTTACTGTTATTTAATCACTGCTATTTCAGACAGCCAGTAACAAAGAAATACTTGCTGTGGGTTTTTTTTCTAGTAAATAATGTGATATACTATCATCTAAAATCTAGATAGCAAAAGAAATATCATCCCTTTAAGATGAGCTGGAAAGGTTTAATCTGAAACCAAGAAAATGCCTACAGATTCTGTCAGGATTTTCTCTCCCCCTTCACACCAGAATGTGTGATGCTTTCTTCATCACTTCAAAGCAAAACACAGAAACCGATACATACATACTGCCAGCACAGAAAAGATTTTAAATTCTGGTGGTTTTTTGAATTACTTGTAGATATATTAGTGGTTTTTTCTCCTAAAGAAACTAAAATAACAACATCTCTAAACAAATTAAAAATATTTTAAATGTACAATAATTATAGTACTAAAAGCACTCCTTATCACTTGCAACAAAGCAAGACATTAAGAGATATGTATCACATGCTTAAGTGATAAAAATTTGTTAGAAGGGTTGCTAAGAAATAAGAACCCAATGTTTTCTTAAGTTTACATACATGCAGTAATCCCAATAATACTTCCACTATCCTTACAAAGAGTAGCAACCAAATTTTTAATTTGCTTCATAAATTCTAACAGTTCTTATTCCTGGGGATTAGTCTTACCCTTGAGAAGATCTACAAAACAAAGACTTTATCTTGCAATTATTTTCTGGATCATTCTTTGTTCACCTTCCTGCATTATGCTTGTTTGGTGTGAACACTGCATGTTCAGATTGGTGTAAATTAGTCTACATCACTCAAGATTCCTTACTGATTTATACGTACAACTACCTAATTCACCAGTGAACCTGGGCAGCTGATATCCGTTAAGATTAAATTTTGCAAACCCAGACATGAGTATTGCTAAGAAGCTGTTCTGCCTGTGTACTGAATATTCTGCATGTTTTTATTGTTTTAAACACTTTTAGGAAAACATGCTTGATAAATTTTTTTTTAAAGTTAATCTGGCTTCTGACAATCATTTTACAATAACATTCAGATTCTTTTCCTTTGAGAAGAGTTTTTAAAGCAAGTTGCAATAAACAAAATTTGTAATAAACAAAACCTACTTTTCATGCTATGTTATCTTGAAAAAAAACAAACAAGGGACATAGCACTCAAAGGCAAAATTAATTAATAAATAACTGATTTTTCCTAAGTCTTCCTAATTTTTTTCATTAATGGCTACTAAGCATATGCAGAGAGAAATTAAGACCACTTTTTAAAGAGCATTGTAGAAGTAACAGACCTGTCAGTGGAACAGAAAATACAGTTACCCTTCTCCTTCTTGCAGAGTAATATTGCAGGAATGTGTAACACTATAGAAAAGCCATTCAGGAGTATTATCGCACTGGTTAGGGGTTATACCTGAGGCCAATAGGTTTGGAGAACTCTGAACTCTCTTCACAGCTGTTAATGTGACAGACATTGCAGCACGTTTGCGAGCACACCCACCGCTATCTGGAAGCACAAAACAATACAGACAGCAGCCCCAGACAAAGGGAGCAAGCACATGCAACATATCACAGTGTGAGATACACCAAACATATGTGAAAATAAGCATGCAGTTAGGGAACTGCTGCAGGAACGTGTAAATTTACAAGTTTCACGGATTAGCAGAACACATAAAATTTCTCAAGCTTTAAATAACAATAAACCTCACAGAAAATAAGTAAAGAAAGCAATATTTAATAGTTAATCCACTAGGGAAATATATACATTCTGTTACCTGAAAGACTGCTTAATTATAGCTAATTAGTAAAAAAACCCAAGTAATCAAGATGAAAGATTAAGCATTCCAGAGTAATATTAATCAGTAATCTGCACTGTAAAATAATTTCATTGTATGCATTAGAAAGACATCATTCATAAACTAAGCTTATGTTTGATCAGCTGACAAAGTGCTTTTGTTCAGTCTTTTGGATCCTTTAAGCTCAAGAAACAAAATTACTAAGGATGCCATAATTTTTTCGTTGTTTTGGTGGAACACCCTTGCTCTTCCTCCCCCTCTTCTTTTTTTATCTAACAGAAGATTAAAAAATATATGTCTGGAACCCAATAACATCCCGAGGGAATGACTAGAAATTTAAAATCACTCTGAACAACCAGGAATGGAAAAAACCTTTCTTCTGGACCTTGCATGACTCCTTTCTTTCCTCAGTCTCTACTCTTCTCTCACTTGGAGCTCTCATTCTGTTTTATAAATACTTTGTTACTATTAGAAGGTAGCTTTCCCAGAACTTAGCTTTTTAGCAACTCTATCATAGTTGTAAAAGCAAGTTAATAAATATTCTTCCTGACTATATTTAACTAGAATATTTTTCTGCTCTTTACTATAATAATTATTTTAATTTTCATATTTGATATTACTGAAATTTTATACAGGGCCCCACTGAAGTAAAGAAGAACCAGAACTACAATAGAGGCCCTAACGGTTTTTATATCTGCGTCCTATGACAGGGAGTTTTATAAAATTATGCTTAAGGAAGATGTGCAACCTATTAGTAGAAAGTATTTCCTATGATAGCAGTAATTTGAGCCACAGAGACATCTTTAGCCCACACCTGCAAGAGAAGTGAGCTCCTGGTATTTCTTTGCCCATTCCAGTATTCCCCCGAAATAGCAGAGCCCTCTGGCCACAGGTCTGGCAGGATATGCATTAAGTAGTTGTTAACGTTGGCAAGCATCAGAGCCACTGCCCCAAGTTTAAGCAGTTCCAAAGACTGATTGCCCATTCCAAGTCTCAAGGCAAAAGGCCAAATGATTTCAGTGAGCAATAGTCAAAAGCAATGCATCACCCACAATTAATTACTGGTGCTGTACATGTGAAACAAAGACAATGGCTATCAAATCTGCACCTTTGTTTTAGTCTGCCTATATAAATATAGAATGGCAATGGTAATTAAAACCACATTTTCCATTCTTGCATTCCCTCCCCCTGTGACATACACCAGAAGTAATTCCAAGGTGATTTGATGATGTGTTGATATTGAGGTTCTGTTCTTATCCGAATATTGGCAGACTTTTAACAACATACTTTACTTGATTAATACAAGCTAACAGGCAAACAGTTTTGTTAGAAGATGTTAAGATGTTTGTCACATCTTTTATTCAAACAAAGTGACGCTTTATTTGTATTTTTTCAAGAGCTACCTTCCTGAATTTCAGGATAGAGAAACTGAAGTGGGAGGAAAGGAAGACGACCAGAAAACTGACTACAAATATTTTATCATTGTAACTTCAAGAAATTCGGCTTCAAATTAGTTTTTAATGTAACTGAACTGAACCAGAGTTTTATACTTAGTGGACCCATTATCTAGCAAAGTGTTTGACATGACTTCACACAAGATAGCTAAAACAGATGTTGTAACTGACTATATACATATATGCATACAACATTTACCCCTATATATAGAAGCCCATACCTGCAATAACATTCTCAGTATCTGTACAAAAGAGTCAATTAGCACTCAGTTAAGATGTAACTGCACAAATATACTATATTGAGTTGTGCAAAATTTCTAATAAAATATGAATGTGTGTGGGCAAGCACATATTTATGCATGATGGACTCTGTCTTCCCATCTTTGTTCAGGTCAGGCTCCCATTAAGTTAAGGGCATCATATCTGAATGAGGATCAGAAGAATCTGCACGCTGCCTCAAAACAGGCAGTTTTCAAACTGCTTCCCTAATCTCCATGGCCTTACACAGCTGAACTTCATGAGGCTTATCCCAGCCTGTATTTCTTTTTCATATCTCTATCAAATTTCCAGCAAATACTAACTATATTCAATCAGATTCTTGAAGTCCAAATGACACCAAAAAGCTCTAAGTCTAGAGAAGAGAGAACTGAAAAACAGTAAGGGAGGCTGAATTAATGATTATCTGCTCATTTCACTTGCAAACTATAAGGAATTAATATTGCACAGCTTTACTCAAGGAACAAATGAGGATATGTGAAACAATTCTATACAAAATGTATGCATTTATATAAAATGAAATGTGCGCAAATATGTATACACATACACACAATTCTCTATTCGTTTTGACATGACAAATTCTTCAGGAGTGAGAGTCCTGTCTTCCTAGGTATTGTTTTAACATTGAAGCAAAGGAGACCCAAATCGGCTAAGGTCTGCAGGCAATAATAGAATGTGAAGTTGGGCAATAATTCACAATCAAACCAGCTGCCTAAAATGCGAGTCCAGCTCAAATCACGACTTAGCACAGTTGGTGCCTAGATATTCTTCTGCAAACCCTATGTACACCCATCAAATCAAGAGAAGACAAATAGGCATCCTTAGCAGGTCCTGAAGAAAATGAGGGAGACGGGGGAGGTAAGGATTATCTGGTGAGACATGTTTCTGACAGTATCTTGCAGAGCAAGGGCTATATAGGGACGAACTCCTGAATGCTAGGATCAATGTTGTAGACTTACTTTTAAAGAGAGAGAAAAAAAGAGCCACTCACTGACTGGAAAAGACAGGCAAGGTGGTGGCTTGCCCTCCAGCTAGGAGGATGTGTGTATCTGCCTATGTACCCTAACGCTCTCTGCAGTGGGGCTCTGGATGCTCTCTTCCTCTTGTTAGCTCACCATTCAGCTCCTCTCCCTTTGGCAGCTCCTCTCCTACAATTTTTCTCCTCAGCCTTTCTCCATTCCTCACTTCTCTCTCCCTCCCATAGTTCTGCTTCTCTCCACAAATAAGTACTTTAACCCTGCCCCCTAAATCTGCAATCCCAGCAACTGCTCCCACTACAGACAGCATCACCCTAAGTGAGCTGTAGCTCTATTTGACAAATAGTCTATTGGTCAGGTCCTGCTCCAAAGCAGAATGGAGCCAATTCAAAACACCACCACTTTCATTTAGGAACATGGGGTGGTTTTTCTTTGAAAAGACTGTTTCAGAGAGTCAGTAAAAGCAGTGGCATAAACCAAGTTGGCAAAGATGAAAGGACGGTGACCTCTTGTGAAGAGATGAGAGAGAGCAGCCAGGGGGCAGGAAACTTTGAATAAGCTCTTACAGCTCAAAGAAAAATGGCACCCATACATCATGTTTGCTGGTCATTTTATTCTATCCACTGTACTTGTGAACGGTATCAATTTCCACTTTGTCTGCACAGTGAATTCAAGTTTAGAAGTCTTTAGATCAGGGATTCTTACTCCCTATTTGCATTCTGGCCTTCTGAGGCAAATATATAGTGCTGGATCCAACAGTCCAAGACAGATGAAGCTGCTGCCTCTCTATGTCCCCAGGTCCAACCAGTAGTGAGTCTGGAGATGTGTTCCCAGCAGACACAAGCACAAGAGCACATGTATACACCACATACATACATGGCTGGCCACGGAGATCACAAGGCTCTCCTGGGACAGTTCTCAGAAGGGCCTGGACAAGGGAGGCCCTTGTACCTCCCTTCATTCCTTGGGACTCCTTAATTTGGGTTCCTGCCTGCCCTTGTGCCCCATACTCCTCTAGGCTTGTGGAGATGGGTCTTTGATGGCTCCTGTGATGGGCCCGGCAGTAGCCTGGCAGTGCAGGCTATTATTTGGGCTTCCCCTCCTACCACTGTTTCTCTGAGCTCCTTTGTGGGTGTGCAGACAAGCTTTTATCACATATGACTACTTATCACATACTGACATTGACTACACAGGTGAACCTGAACCTACTATTATTTGGTTCTTTGATGCTGCTAAATTACAATAAATAGTGATTAAAAAAGTAAACTTTTGGTAGAATGCCTGAGACACTCAAGCCCATCTAATTTGCTTTAGTGATCTAAAAGTGGCTTCACAATCTATTCAGGAACTCTGCAGGGACTCAAGAATTTCTATTCTTGTCTCCCAGACAAAATGTAAGAGATTAGTCCATGTGATGACTTCCATTAATAATTTTAACAAACACAAAATATTTGCAGTCTTCCAGAACTGCATACTTTTTCACTCTTGGCTGCTCTTTATGTGCTTCATCTAATGCAAACAGCTAACTTGTTTAATAGTTTAAAAATTAGATGCATTTATCAAGAATTATCTGTGTGAAACTCAGCCAAAATATTTACGGATAGACACTAAGAATCTGTTTTATCATATTAACTTGTATCCATTCATTATTCCTCAATGCAATTACCTCTCCCCCAACATCAGCTATGCATGCACATATGTAGTATAAACAATAAGCACATTTATCCTGTGTTTTAATCTGATGTGAGCTTCATGGGTAGCTCAGGTTTTCTGTGACTTAGTTTCTCAAAATGTCTCACCAAGTTAATGATGTTCATCAAATCTGTAAAGTACTTGAAGTCTTGTTGATGAAAACCTATATATAGTTTAAAAAGACTGTTCTGTTGATTATTGCTTAGTCTGGGTTTAAAAAGGCACACATTCTATTAGAGTACTATTTTTAAATTATGACAGCATTTGAACACCAAAAGGAACTATGAGCCAAAGTACCTTTGGTACTTCTGAAAACCTCCCCTATATCTTACGTCTATTTCTTTGCTTTTGCTAATATGTTTCATTGCTGTATGCTGTTGAATATTCCTTCCTAACATGTGGTACAGAATTAACATCAAATGCTAAAAAATCCTACCCATATATGGTAGAGTATTGAAACCCAAAGCTCTTCAAAACATTTTCTCTGTAGACAAAAATATCTTCCACAGGGTTCGCCGAGACAGACTGCCAAGTCCGCAGCCACAGGGAACAGTGGATTAGAGGAGCCCACTCTAAGCAGTAGATTTACTTTTTATTTTTAAAGCTGCATATAGACTGGCTTTGCCACTTCAGGAGTTACTGGTATCAAACTAGGGTGCTCATTTATGTGCAAGAGTAATAAATGAAATGTATATTTTTAAACCAAACTAGTGGCAAGTCAATTGTATCTGATAACCTCCAAATGCATCATGCACAAATTCCTGTTGTAAAGCAGTGAAATAGGAAAAAAAGGGGGGGGGGGGCGCACTCATTTTATGTTCAAAGACAACACAGTGAAGAAAAAAAAAAAAAAGAGAAACTAGACCAGAACACCATGCAGAACAGCTTTCACCTTAGTCACTCTCTTCCTTAGTAAAGAGATGCCTTATTAACAGATAGGTGCAAGATGTTCACTTATACACCCTACCCAGTGGATATTTTATTTTTTTTTTTACAGTTAGGAAACAATACACCAGTAGAACTGACAGATAATGCCACGTTTTTTGTCAACACCTCCTTTTAGTGCAGCTGGTAACATGCACATTAATAGCAAGCACACACAAGTTGAAAAATGTTCTCACTGTGTAAGTGCAGAGTAGATTACAGTTCAGCTTAGAACCATGATATCCTTAGGTAACTGGAAAGGATTTCAGGTGTGTTCAGGTCTTTTAAGTCTGTTTTCAAGGCTCCTGTGTGATCAGAAGACTCCCAATCCCCAACAGAAGTCATTCAGCCACATAGAATACTTATATCTTACATCTATTTCTCTCAAGAATTTCTAGTTTACATTAAAAAATCTTAGTACAACATAGAACAAAGCCATACTTCAGAGCTGCAGTAGCACAAACTGGCAATTTACTGCTCTATCTGCATTTTTCAAAGTAGAGGCTATAAAATGACATCTATCATAAGATTTTAACTCTCACGATTGCAATGCACAATGTAATCACAGTCAAATGCATGATGATTAGCTGAATTACTTCTGAAATTACAGTTCTATGAAGTAAGCAGTATTTCAGTACTACCTTAATTATACAGACTGACATGTTTAGGAAAGACATCTTCACTAAAAATGCAAGAGGATAGGACGAATTTCAAATACTATTTCCAGAAATGAAAAAAACACACCACCCTGGTTAGCATCTGTAAAAACAATTAAGAACAACCAAAACTTTGGGAAAAAGCCCACAAACTCAACTGAGAAATTTAATTTATCCTACTTATTACATTTACAAACATAGAGGTTTCAAGTGAGACAATATATTTGAACTTTGTATTAAAAAGAGCTGTCCAAGAACATGGTCCTACTGAGTTCCAGTCATTGTCTGAGACAACAGGAAGCCAGGAAGCCTGATTAGTACAGTGGTCTAGATAATGGCAACCTATGCCACGGAAAAACTAACCCCTTCAATTTAGAGCGTGCTGCTGAAACACCTAAACTGGCTTCAAAGGTAGTTCAGGTCCTCAGGTCCCACATAACACATTTTGCTTATTTCAGGTTGTCATGGCTGTTGTCATGGTGCAGCACTACAGTCAATGATAAAACCAACTGGTTTGGAAAGGATAGATATGTCTATCCTCACGCCACAGTTAATCTGCAAACCAGACAGTTCGCCCATGGAGTATAAAGAGTTGACTACAACTGAAAATCTACACCTGACAGGAGTGAGGCCAGGATTTCACCAGTCTGCTTTCGACAGGCCTGTTCCCACTTCCAGCAAAACCAGCAGCACTATCTATTGAATTCAGTGACTCAGGAGCAAATATTAGTATGTTGTCACAGATCATGAAGATAACTTCCTATAGAGTACTTCAACTGGTCAATACATCTATCACAGCAACTTAAGAGAAAATACAAAGTGCTCTAAGTACAAAATAGTTATTCTCATCTGATTAAGCAAGTGTAGCTAGTAATACAGGGTAGTATTTATATGCCCTTTAATTTAACAACAGTAGAGAATGAAAACAAAGCATTTTTAAAGCATGTGCGTTTTCTTAGGAAAATGTGATGCTTTAACATTGCTTTTCCATAGCTGTTATGTCCTCATACTACGTATTTTTACATAAAACATACACATACAAAACTGATACTTAAGCGCAGAAAGCTAAACATGCATGTATATTTCACATATCCATATATATCCATACATAGAAAAACATGTATGTAAATTTTATATATGGAATACAAATGCACAGAAGCAGACATACTATTAAAATATCTTGCTTAATTTGAATTCAGCACCAACTAAAGTACAATTTGCTCATGGAAATTTAAATAAATTTGGGACCTTCTCTGCTTACTAAACAACACATAAGAGTAAAGAAAAATCTCACAGAAGCAGCGTACCTGTGTTCATTTTGACACTGGGGGATTTGCTATAAAAGTCTTCAGGTTTCCTGTGGAAAATAAAACGATCTATTAATTTGCACAAGACAAGAATGTGTGGTACAAAATGGCAGCAGGACTTCTTGGAGGGGTGGAGAATCACTGTGATACAAATCACAGTCCTATTTTAACACAGCTTTAATTAAATTGGTACTGCTTGTCCTTCCAAAGTTAAAGATGAGCTGTCGCTTCCATTATAAGCTACTCTATTTTCAAGTGTTTAGTACCTCTGTTGTAAACATTTGCTCTGGGATAAAAACCTAGTGATTGACTTTTGGTCTTGAAACTATAAACTAAAAATTACTCCTGTACAGGAATGGGGAAATATTTTTAAAGGCTGCTTATAAGCTTTATTCACTCCATTGTGCACACTGAAAGATATAAAGAGTAGGTCTCTCCAAATATTTTTTAAGCAGCCAGTTAGCAGGTCTTTTTCAACGGTTTATAAGCAGGAAATGTGGCTGTTTTCATCCAGTGATTTAATGTGTCTCTACAGACAACGCCAACACTCAATGTTGCTCACCATATTGCTATGCACAGAACTAGGGTATGTGTCTTAGCATCCATAGGAATCCACTTCAAAACTCCTGATTGAGTCAACAGGTAGGGAATCAAGTCACTATACATCAATGTGCTTTTTAAAGGCAATAATTTACACCAAAATAATGTAAAAAGCACGCAAACATTTAATCTCTTTATTTAGATATCCCAACTCTCTACAGTACTTACAAACAAACTAATAGTAATACTCCACAAAACCAAACTACAACTGTAGAAAAAGCATGACATCCTACATTAACAGGCAACTTTAACCTACTGATGGTATGTCACAGGACAAACTAGACAGAATTTTCTATCTACTGACAGTTTATGTCACAGCTTTGTCTTAGGATCAGGAGCTTTAATGGCTCTTTTATTCAGGCTCTTTTAGAGATAAAAAGATAAATGCATAAAAGGTTTCCAATGGCATTCTGTGTACTAGCCAATCTCAGCTGTACTGTTACATATATGCTGCCCACTGTAATTTACTAAGTGGGCAGACACACTGGAGGCCAAAATACCAAGGGCTAAAAAAAGTCATTCTCCCTCTGCACTGTTCCCACATCAAGTTCAGGATAAAACAAAGGGAAAATCAGAATATTTAATATAATACAACTTCAAAACATAAATTAAAAATATAAACTGCCTGACTACATTGGAAGAAGTTGGAATGTGTACAGGAGGGTCCCTGTTTACAATGGGAGACTCAAGATACTAATTAGCACAAGTAAACAAAATATTGAAACAGAATTCCAGCTTAACTCAGCAGGAACCCTGAATTAACTGTACCTCTGAGGCAACATGCATACTGCTGTATTCATCATGAGGCCAGATTCTCTACTGCTTGAAAAACTTACTGTTTTTTTTAAAAACTATCTGAACTCTGCTGCTATTATTCAGTCAGTTTTGTGACAAAAAAGATGCACGTTAAGCTTCTTGAGAACTATGGAAACAGATATGGGGCAGTGAATAAAGTTTTATTACATTCTTTTTATGCTGCAGCTACCTCTGAGAATTTCTAAAAGATCTTTTAAAAATTAAGGTAAACTATTTTATTAATTTTTTGATAAATTATCTTTGAATGAAATCTTGGATTTCTATAACAGCTACAGAATATTCTTAAAGCCTCTAATTCCTACAGTGTTTTCAGGGTGCTAGAGGAGACACCATTTTCAAGCCTTCTTTTTAGCTTGGAACTGAATCACTGATGGTACTGCATGCAAGCTACGAAATGCAACATGATATTTATTTTCAGACCCAACAAGTACAGAACTCTTGGAACACTGCAGAGCCAAAATGATTTCTAGCAGGTGGCTTTGATATATTTACAAGAAGCATGCTTAACTCTTACTCCAGTTTTAACAGACAACACTCAGTTTTAGCACTACGGCTTTGTCCTCCTAAGAGTTTTTTCCATCTGAACAGCTTAGGCTGCATTGCTGACACTCAGCAAAGGATTGCATACAAACCACTAACGTTTCCACATTAATCTCATTTTGCTGAAGAACAAATTAGTCTTGCATACCTGAAAAGTATGCATCTAAATAAGGCAATATAGATCACACTCATGCAAACAGTAGGCCTTGCATTTAAATATTAAATTATTTGAAATTCTCTGCTTCCAAGGAGCTGAAGTAGCATTCAAATACTTAATGATACTGGCAGTATGATCCAACCGAATGCAATGAACTTAACAGTCATATGCCTGAAAGCATTTTACTCAGCATTGTTTCAAGCAGTCTTTAAGATCCTTACTTCAAGAAAGTGCGTGTGTGGGGCAGAGGTGGGGGGAGCAAAGGGGTTTTTTTGCTTTGTACTTCTGTTCCTACTTCATTGCCTCCTGAAAATTGTTCTTCATGAATGGGTTTGTAAGTAGCTCTAATATAAACCCCGACAGAGGAAAGATGAATGTTCCACTGGAAGCATCAGACACTCTTCACTGCCAAAAAGGATGCCCGATGATCAGCTAAGATACTCTGCTCTTAGATAGCTAATGCCGCGATGGAAGGAATACCTGTAATTATTATGCAGACACAAAGCGCTACTGGAATGCATGAGTTTGCAAAATCAGACTGCTGTTCAGTCACCTAGATCAGGCAGGTTTTCTACTAAGCTCACATCTGATTTTAGATGCTGAGTTAAAAGAACACTAAGTTTTACCTAAACTGCCTAAACTTTGCAGAGATCCAGGATTAATCTTCATGACATTCTTCTATAGTTGGCTTCATCTGGCAGAGGTAATGCAGTAGGACGTGAACGACTGCACTAATGCACAGAAATGGGTGTGTCAGGTTGAATGCAGCTGCAGTTATAATTGCTACAGTTTCACTAAATTAGTAATAGATATTGCCATGTTATTTCTTGATAACTCCCTGTATTTCTTGATAACGCTACAAAGATTACCTCAGCTCAGCAATACTTTGCATTGAGAGGCGCTACGGAAAAGACTTGAGGGAATCTCATTGACACCTGCTCTATTTTCTCCAAGAGACCCTGATAGCTTGTTGTGATTGCTGCTTCTGTTCCTGGTAAGTTCTGAAGTGTGGGGTGCTGCAGGGAGCCATTCTGTCACCCCTTCTGTTCCACATTTATAGGGAGCTATAAAAAGGGTTAGTGAGAAGTCAAGAAAGGTTTCCCCGCCCTCAGTTTAGTCATGAATACAAGACCATAATCAAGTCAACTTTTATAAGATGACAGAGATCAACCAGACAGTATTAATTGACTAATGACTTTTTTTTAACAGATTCTAAGTTACCTGTTATTTACTCTTGCCATTTCACAAAAGATATTATAAAAAGCAGGTTTAAAATGTAATTTGCTGAAACAGTATTTATATTAATTTTAAAGCTAATTCTAGTATGTGCTCTTCACAGTTACCATCCTTTGTAATGAATTCTACCCCAAGGACCTTTGGTGAGAGGAGCAATTGGCTTACAATACAGAGTGCAGATGGATCAACAGCAGGATAGATGTGTGTGTGATCTGGCTGGAAAGTGATAGATTTTCATGGTCTTAGGTAGACGGCATTGCCCAGATATTTGGAGAGGAGAGCAGCTTTCCAGATTTGCGTGAGAAGGAGCATCAGACTTGCATTAATGTTGTTTGCCAGTTTCACAGTTTGAGCTAGAGACAGTAATCTACTTGAGAAAATATCTGTAAAATTAAGGAGACAAATCAGCCTGTGATTTTACTCCAAGGATTGTTTATTCAGTCAGTTTAAACATGGCAGGTAATCTACAAACACATATTTGTTACCAGGCAGGATTCTATATCCTAATTTGCACGTGGTAGTAAATTCTTTTAACCCAAATCATTAAGACTCTGGAGAGCATTCCTGTTCTCATCTCTGCAACAGGCCAATATACTTGAGATACCAACTCATGCATTCAGCGAAGGAGGGGGGAAAAAAGTATGAAGCATTAGTTCTGGAAAATGGTGAAGGTGACTATTTTATTTCTCTGTTTTTAAAAGAAAATGTTTCAGATGTTTAGCTGTAGCAGGGTGACTATGGCAATGAGAATGCAATGAGAGCTTGACAGACTGCAAAATGTTTAGATTGTGGCAACAGTGACTCACCTGAAGAAACAACTGTCCCAAAGCTTCCTTGGGAGCAGAGGTCTCTCCTTTTGAGCCCCTAAACAGAAGGAAGGCATATATACCAATGTATTGTTTGCATGAAAAAATGTTTGATGGAGCACAGGTAGACGGTGCTTGTAGTAAAAAAATTGAGAAGGTACCAAAGAAGGCTCCACCATGTTTCAATTCATTAATATGCAACAAAATGACAAAATGGCACGGAGCCTGTACTAAGATCCAACCACCAAGGCATACGCTGAGCATACGCTTAAGCATATGCTTTATGTAGGCCCTACAGACCTATTTCTAGGCTTAATGTTAAACGTAAGCATAAGTACTGTTTGTCCCAGATCACATTGCCTCGCCCTATAAAAAGCTGAATAATCCACTTCTAATTAAAGTGTTTTCAGATAGACCATCAAAGAACAAAACACAGGCAGACAATTGCCATCATAGTTTCTGTAATTTTAATTTTTAAATTTTGCTTACAGGACTGTGAAGACATCATAGAAAATCATAAGGTAGTTTCTATTCATGACAGTCATTAAGGTAGGGAGCACTTACAGGAATGCTGTGGTCAAACTTAAGAGCCTGAACTTGACAAGCGTATGTGAAAAACGTGGCTGTCTGAAGGCAGGGGAATGTATCTGATGACTTGGGAACTTCTTTCCAGACCTTGAACTCTTTTCCTAATGTAATTTTTCTGAGAATGCTATAAATGCAAGATTAAGAGACAGTGCTAATACCTCCTCCTTTCCCTCTGTTTCTTCATGAAACTGAGAAAATTAGCTAAATATCTGATGAGAGAGGAAAGCAAAGACTACATGTTTCTAAACTGAAGGTTTCTTACAGCAA